TGATGTTGGAACATCTTTCTACATCTGATGGTGGAACATCTTTCTACATCTGATGGTGGAACATCTTTCTACATCTGATGGAGGAACATCTTTCTACAGCTGATGAGCAGAGCAGAGAGGAACACAGACACAAGGACAAACTGCTGTTGATTTCAAGTTTTCTCAATAACTAAAATAGTCAAAGTAGTTCAACTTCTTTCCTCTTACGATTTACGGCGTTCTGGAGGCCCAGTCAGAGTCCAGACCTCAGTCCAGCTGAGAATTAGAGTCTGGACCTGAACAGTTCTGTTCATCATGATCCCTGTGGAACCTGACAGAGTCTGAACAGTTTCATCAGAATGAGGTGAAGCTGCAGCGTCCAGATGTTCAGACTGATGGAGATGAAATGAAGAGACGAACTGAGAAGAGCTTGTAACGGATGAACATGTCCAATAAACAGCTGAGATAACAAGAAGCACGATGTCCTCAAAATGCTGTTTCACAGCGACTCCCAGAGGAGCTCAACACAAGTGCAAAGAGGATTACTGGGAGCAGAGACGTCCGTGTGGTTTGCAGCAGGAGGAAGATATACGAGCAGATAATGAGGGAGAGGACGTGAAATCACTTCCATGCAGGAGGCAGAGAGACAGCCCGACATTAAAACATCCAGGCTGACTGACACTAATCGTCTCTAATTGTTTTATAATCGTCCCTGTGAATCCCAGCTTCTCCTGACGTCAGCCCTCAGAGCGTTTCCAAAAAACTTTCGCGGCTCTCAAACGGTTCTTCTTTAATTTTTTGTATTAGGGCTGCACTATTTATCATCACAGCATCGACACCGGGATGTGCAGTCAGGTAGCGCTGCTCAGACACATCCGGCTTCATACCACCAGTAGAACGCCTTCTTGTAAAAATAAATGCCAGTGAACGTCCAAAATGTCTCAAAACGGCTCAAAATTACTTTAACATGACACGAAAATTATCAAAATGATTCAAAACTCTTCAGTATTTTGTTTTAATTTGCCAAACTGACAAACTCCAGTCCACCACCTCTGAAAGGAACCAAAACATCGACCAAGACGGTTTCAAAGTGTCCGCAATGACTAAAGATTTGTCCAAAATCAGATAAAAAAATTGTCAAGAGTGATTTAAGATTTCTCCAAAATTAACCAAACTTTGCTCAAAATTACATGAAATTTGTTCAGAAGCTCAAAAATCTCCCCAAATTATATAAAATGTGTCCGACATGAAGAATCGTCCAGGACGGCTTTAACGTGTCCGAAACGACTAGAAATGTGTCAGAACGATGTGAAAATGATCAAAAATGATTAAAAACTGGTAGATTAAAGTGACAGAAACCAGGTCCAGTGTTCAGACTGAGACACCTGGATGGATGTAGAACTGATCTGGTGTCAGGTTCTATCAGAACCCAGATGTTGTCATGTGTCTATCTGCTGTTCTGATGAAGTTCTGAGGCTCAGAAATGATGGAAAAAGTCCATTAAAGTGATCAATCTGGACCCTCCTCTGTGGACTTGAAGGACCTGGACCTCTGGAACATTCACAGTCTGAAGGTAGAACTCTGGTCAGTAGATGAAGGTGCTGCAGATGAAGGTCTGTTTCAGATTTGGTTGATTTTATGTAGAAATGAAACCAAACGTCAACCTTCAAAGTCAGACGCTGCAGTTCCTCCAACGTCCACTGGGGGCTCCAGAAGCGAGTCAGAGCTCCGCGTTAGAACTGGACTTTACTTCTGAGGCGGTTTCAGGTGTTTGTGAGGTGGTCTGGTGTCACGTCGGGGTCGATTTGGAGCATCTCGTCGTCACCTTACTTCGTTTTACGTCTTCTGTGGTCCCTCTGCGACTTTGTGTCGTTATGTTGTGGTGTTGTGTCCCACTGAGGCTGCTCACTGCTCATTGTGGTCGTCTGGCTACCGCATGTGGTCGAGACTGAGCGAACGCTTCATTTCACCACCTGTGGGAACCTGGAATAGACTGTGTGATTAGTCAGACATTCACATCATTTTTTCTGAGCTAGTCGGTCGTTCTGACAGAAGACGTCTCTGAGTTCTTCTTCATGTGGTTCTGGTTCCTCAGAGCTGCAGGACTTCATGCTGCACACAAACATGACCGTCAGTGAGGTAAGCTGAGTCAGGAGGAAACGGGGTTAGAAGGCGTTACCTGGTAAGGTACGATGCTCTCGTGGGCCGTCCCCCAGCGCCGCGCCTCCTTCCCAGCGTTCAGGTAGTTAGCAGCGATGTGGCTCAGACAGGAAACCTGAGAGAGGAGAGAGTGGGCGTTAAATCTGAGCTGTCATCGGCCTGCTTCCTCCCTGCTGCTGCTGGAGGTCGACGCTCGCTCCGCTGCAGACTCAAACCTCCAAAGCCCCGCTGCGTTTCCTCCCGACCCGGCGGCTCGCCCTCAGCCCCGCGGCTTCGCTGAATTTACAAGCAGCTGAAAAGCCGCGGATGGATTTCCACGACTGCCGGCGAGCACATGGGCCTCGCAGCCGTCCTCTGGTCCCGAGCTCCGGCACAGCGACGCATTAACAGCACAGAGCTGCTGTGAAATCCGCCTCAGCTCCAGTGAAGCGCTGACATCCTGCCGCCAACCGACACCCAGCAGCACTTAAATACCACAGAGTAAAGAGCAGCAACACTCCTGGGCATCCCGGTGGAGTCCAAACGCTCACCGGATCAGACGCACTGATTCAGAGGTGGAAGGTTTTTCACCACATTTCAGTCGTTGTTTTCTACGTTTCTGTGGTGGTTTTGCATCTTGCTGAGGTCACTCGGTGTCACAGTTCAGTTGTTTTCTGGTCGTTCTCTCACTAATTGTGGCTGTTTTGCATCACATTTTAATCCTTTCACATCCTTTTGTGGTCACAGTTTGGTTGCTTTGCAGCTTTTTGAGGCCATTTTACAACTTTTTCATTCATTTGCAACGTGTTTTAAAACTTGTTCTCCTAGTTTTGGGACTTTTCCGGATTGTTTGGCAGCTTCTTGTCGCCTTTTTATAGTCATTCTGTTTGTTTGCTTTGCAGCTTTTTGTGGGAGTTTTACAACCTTTATGTCAATTTGAGACCTTGTCCAGTTGTTTTACAGCTTGTTTTGGTATTTTTCCATCTTCTGGTGATTACTTTGCTTCACATTTTGGCAGTTTGGGGACTTTTCGTGGTTGTTTTTTCTTTTTCTTTTTACTTTTTTGTCTTTGTTTGCTGTCACAGTTTGGGTGATTTACATCTTTTAGAAAAATCTTCATCTTCTAGAAAATACGTCAGGGTCTCAGACAACATGCTGCTGAGTGGAGGCAACAGCAATGTTGCACCAACTTCATACTTTCTGTAATTCATACTAAGATTTGTTTGATTTTTGTTTACAAGATGTAAACAACACTTTGATATTCCATCACTAACACAGTGTTTTACTGTTCTGTCCCTTCTTTATGCTATTTCCAGGAAGAACAAACTGCATCGACAGCACTTGTGTATGTTTCTTGTGTATTTTGTACAGCTGTTCCTACACTTTTTCCTACAAAAGACTATCTTATCTTATCTTGTCTTGTCTATGCAGTGTACAAATGAAAACAGTTTTCAACTAAAATACTGTTATTTCTACAGATTGTAATGCTGGATTAACAGACAATAAGGTATGAATGGACCAGTTTGCTGTCGTCCAAACTGTCCATGACGTCCACATCAAACATCTGTATTTTTACAAACGGTAATTCATTCTTTTACGGTGTTTTGTTATGATATTGCCCGTTTTTCCTGCGGTTAGCGTTATTCTACATACATGTTTGCTGGTATTTTCACTGTTCTTATAGCTTTTGAAACATGACATTATTCCATGTTTTTCCATGCTGCCAGATTTTCAGTTTTTCTAAGCGCCTCGGATCAGGACGTCACCTCATCTGACATCTGAAAAGACAGCGATGCAACCGACGGCTGAGGCCAACACTAGTCCAACCGAGAGCTTCAGAACCAGACTCTTCCATTAGACAAGGGAGGACATTTTGACTGTTTCATGCTGTTGTCTTCATTTGCGACAGAAAAAAAAAGCACTTTAAGTTCATATTGTTGCAACGTTTCTCAGGCCGCATCGAAGGAAAAAATCAAACGGAGAAAGAGAAATGCCTGATTAGAAGGAACGAGAGGAGCAGCAGAAGATCAGAGGTGGTGGTGAGGCTTTAAAGGATGTTGACATGACGGAGCAGAAGCAGCCCGACGCTCGGATGGGTGGTTCTGTCAGTCAGCGCTCTGTTTGGAAACCGATACGTTCTCCGTTTAAACTGGAAAACCCGCAGCAGCCGCAACCTGGTCCGACCCGCTCTAACTACAGGCTGAGCAGGGCTACAGGACAGCAACAGCTCCACTTTGAATCTCCAACACAGAGGAAACGTCAGTCAGCAGCATGAAATCGGCTCCGACAGCCGACTCGTAGCGACGTCACATCCAACCAGAGGCTGAAGGACGTAAACTACAGCAGAAAGGTTGAAGCTCTCTCTGCTGAGGTAAAGCTCA